CGGGCCCCGGGGACAGGCAAGAAGCGGGCCCAGGACGAAGCACTCCTCCACCTCCTCCTCCCTCCTCCTCCTCCTCCTCCTCCTCCTCCTCCTCCTCCTCTTCCGTAGCCATTTTGGCTCAAGACACCATGCTTGGGAGGCTTCCAGCCTCCAGGCCAGCAGGGATACCGCTAGACCGCGGCAGATCACCGTCTTCTTCTGGGGTCCCACGGGGCTCGAGGGATCAGCAGCCCCGGCCGGGGTCCTCGAGTTGCCGTGCGGCTTGGCGCGCCCCTCGTCGTACCGGTCTGCAGGTGCGATGGTGCCGCCGCCCGTCCACCAGAGGAAATGGTTTTGTCGCCACTGCAAGCACGATCGGTCCGGCAAACCATTTCTCAACTTCGCGGAGAACAAGAGCTGCTTCTCCTGCAAGCAGCCCAAAGGTTCGTGCTTCGCAGGGTACGTCGCGCTCAAAGAGCCGTCGGTCTCCGTCGGCCAGGGCACGAGCAGCGGCACGGCCGCACCCTGGTCGGTGGCCAAACTTGAGGCCCAGGTCAAGCAGCTGCAGGCGGAGCTCAAGCAGGCCAAGTCGGCGCCGCCCGCTGGGACAGGCGAGGGCGACATGGACGTCGACGGCGGCACGAACCAGCTAGAGGCCCGCCAGCGCCTCGCGGCCATCGACAAGGAGCTGGCCGCCGCCAGGGCTTTCAGCGGCGAGGCCTGGCAGAACATGGCCAAGGCTCTCGCGGCGGAGCAGGCGCAGCTGCAGGCGGAGCTCCGTTCGGCGCAGCCTCACTGTCAGCAGATGCGCATGCTATTGCGCCAGATCGAGTCCAGCGAGTGCGGCCTGCAGAAGACCAAGAGCGACTTGGAGGCCAAGCGCGCCAGGTTGGCCGAGTTGCAGACCGACATCGGCCGGCACGAGCAGGAGCTGGTCGTGGCCGAGGCGGAGCTTGCCGACCTCAAGAAGCAGGAGGCCGTCCTCGTGGCGGCTGCGCCGTCGGACGCGGCCGCGCCTCCCGTCGCCCCCCTCGACCCCGTCTGCGTCTCGGCCCTTCAGATGGACACGCAGAAGCTGGCTAAGTTGCTGGAGGAGCTCGGGGTGGTCGTCCCTGACCAGACGACCGTTGCGCAGCAGCTGGCGGCCAAGGTGCCCACCTGCGCGCAGCGGCAGCTCGTGCAGGTGGCGCCGACCGCCGCGGCAGCACCGGCGGGCGGAGCCATCGGCGCTGGCGCCGCCGTTGGGCCCGGGCAGACGGCCGCGGGACATCTCGCCCCGCCTGAGCAGCCAGGCATCGCAGGCTCCCAGCCCCAGCAGCCTGTCTTCGATCTTGGTGAGATGCGCACGCGACTGGGGCAAGCTGGCATCCCGGCCCCTGAGGGCGAGCTGGAGGTGCAGCAAGCCTTTGAGCGGATGCGTGCGGCCTCCGCGGTGCCAGGCCGCCCGCGGCCCCAGGGAGCCCATGGTGTGGGCCCCTACTAGGTTCGTGACGTCGCTGATGATGATGTTGGCTACGGTTCAGATTGCGCAGGCGGCGCAGCCCGCCGTGCGCGTGCTCTTTGTGCTCGGCTCGGACCTCGTTGACGCAAATTTGCCCGCAGGAGCTACAAAACCCAGTTCCTATCGAGACGCGGTTTCGACTTCTTCGACAGCTCGAAAACCAAGTTCCTATCGAGACGCGGCTTCGACCTGGGGAGACGCGGTTTCGGCGTCGCCATCTTCCGGCGCGAGCCGCCCGTCACACCTCGGCGGCGTGGCGCTCACCTCCGGCGCCGCGAACTGCGCGGAGGTTGCGGGCGGTTTCACTGCGAGGTCTGCATCGAGTCCATGTTCCGCGCAGGTCGCGCTGAAGCTCAATGAGCTGCTGCCCGCGGTCCAGCCCTTCTCGGTCGATGCGCTGACAGTTGGCACCATCAACGCTGACACCTGGGCCGGGGCCAGAGCAGTCGGCGAGTGGCTGCAGGCGCGAGGGAGGCGGCCCGACATCCTGTTCGTCCAGGAGACCCGGTTCTTCGACGATGAGATGGTCGGTTCTGCCCACCAGTGGCGCGCCGGGCAGGGCATGCAGTTGGCCCAGGGGCCTGTCCAGCGCACGGGGCCAGGGCGGTCAGAGGTCTCGGGCGGCGCGGGTATCGCGGTGTCCAACTGCATCGGCGTCGGCCAGGCGGCTAGCGTCGACGAGCGCTGGGCCCACCGCGTCATCATGCGGCGCGCGCACTTTGGTGGCGGCGCCACGTTGCTCCTGGCGTCCCTGTACCTGGTCACGTCCATGGGCCTGGACGGTGAGAACATGGACCTGCTGGGGTACGTGGGCGGCCTGATAGGGCAGTTCGGCGAGCCCTTCCTGATAGGGGCCGACTGGAACGTCGAGCCAGAGGTGCTCCTGGCGCCCCGCTGGGTTGATCAAGTCGGGGGCGTGCTGCTGGCGCCGGACATGCCGACCTGCGGGCCATCAGGGTACGATTTCTTCGTGGTCTCGTCGACGCTGGCGCATCGGGCGGAGGCGCCACAGACTATGTC